GTAGAAGGCTATAGTGGATACAGTAGAAGGCTATGCACTTTTCCCAGGACATTGTTATCTATATTGTTTTCTGGTTTCTAAGCCAAGAGCCTGTTTCTATCTCCTGCTGCACATTTTTCTGTCCTAGATTGTACTGTTCCGTGCCCTGCCTACGTGTCCAGCTGCACTTAAGCAGGTCTTGTGAACTTGTTCTCATGCCCCTTGTCACGTAGCCAGTATTCAATAATATCTTCCACAAGATGTTGTGCTTTAAAAAGAGTCAAAAACCTTTAGATAAAGCAAGGTTGCAAGTCTAGCTCATAGGGCTAAATTTGATAAAGAATTTTAGGTATTACAATAGTTGGCAGGGTAGTTCTCTGTGGATTTGTGTGCTGGGTCAATATAACTCTGTAATGTAAAGTAAAACTGTTGTCTTGACATCTGAGTTTTGGTCTTTCCTCTAATCTACATGATTACACTCTCATCCAGCATCTTTAAGATGGTTTTTCTCAAAAAGTGCTACTTCATTGTTTGGAAATGGTAAATACAACCTTTCCATGCTGATTCACTCAGTATTGCAGAGATCACGTTCCTGGTTCATGGCTTTGAAATGTCTCTGTTCCTTTCCATCCTGCATTGCTGCTGCTTGTGTTGCCAAGAAGCAAAACTTGCATATGAAACTTGTGTTGCTGAATGCACTGGGAAAAAAAAAACATATTTTCACTTCTCAGGTTTTTTGGGGCTAATTTCTTTCTGTTCTATCATCTCTCACGTGTTCCTGAGGGGCCAGCTTCTGTCTCTGTTTTGCACTGATTGCATCCTTCATTGTCTGGTGCCCTTCTGCACAGGGGAGCTCCCCTTAAACTTTCCCAAGCATGTGTTAAGTACCTTTTAAAAATCCTATTTTGAATAATGCTCACTGAAACTAGTTGGTAGTTAGGCAGATGGTGTGCTAGGACCTGTCCTACTGATCAGTGTTGTTTTTTTCTTTCCTATGAGTCTCTGCCTCTGGTAGCCTATATTTTATTATTATCCTTTACTGTTCCTTTTCTAAATTTGATGAGAAATTCACCAACATCATCTCCTTCAAATCACTTTAAAGTCACTTAGTGTTAGCTATACAGCTTAGGTCTGAACTTTTCTGTCTTTCCCCTGTATTGCAGTATGTGACTCTTAATCTACCTGAAAGAGACAGGGTGGATTTTTCTGATGAGGCTTGTGCTCCTAAATCACTTAATCTGATTCCCAATACATCTTCTTAACACTCCTCACTTCTGGTATGCATAACTATAGAGACAAATTTATGATGCTGTAAAAAGAATCCTGCTTAGATCTCAGAACAGAGTAAACTACATGTGGTATTGCTATGTAAAATTAGTTGAGATGAAGATCAAGACCATATAGCTTAATCACCTGTGAAATTTTCTGCATCTGTCCTGTATTTATGACTCTAAAGTAAATGCTTATGCTGTCTCCAGACAAGAAACTGATGGAAAAGTATATCACAGAATTTACAGCAAGTGAGTTTATTTTAAAAAAAAGAGCCCCCTCCCACAAACTACCTAGTTAAGCAAGCTATATTACTCACTTTCCATTGAAACATATGGTTAACAGAATTGAAGAATCTGGTAATGGTCAAATTCCTTTCTGGTTCTAAATGAAAAAAACAATAAAAAAGCCTAGATATCAGAACACAGGAAACAAAGTTAGTATATAAGGGAAAATAAGACTATAGGATATTAATGTTTCAACACATTGTTTTCAAGAGCTGTTGAAAAATCTTTGAAATCCCTGCAGAAAGTAGAGAGCTGTTTGTCACCAGCCTGACTCATCAAGAGTGTTAAACAATACAGAGATGGTGAGACGGCTAGATGACATGTGCAACAGGAAATAATTTTTGTTCCATACTGGGCAATGTCAGGAACATCTCAAGAAAAGCTTCCTCAG